ACAAAGTTTAAGATGAAATATTAGAAATTTTTTAAAAATGCCACTTTTCAAAAATGCTACATTTTCAAAAAATTTGCAAAAATGCCACCTTTTCAAAAAAAATTTTCGTTATATCATTTATATTTGGGTTAACTATGTTGTATTCGGGTTTAGTTTTAAAGGTTTAAGGAGTTTAGGGGCCAAAACATTTTTTAGGGTTTATAATTTTAAGAATTATGCTTTAAAATTCTATAATTAGTGGTATGTTTGCAAATGGTTACCCCTAAATAGTATTTTTTCAACTGTCTCATGAAATATAGACATGAAATAAGTCATAAAATAAACAAATAATACATATAGAATAAACATCTCATTTAAAATAAATAAAAAGACGAATGATAAAAAAAAGTTATATAAATTGGAAAAAAAAAGTTATAAAACTTATAGAAACCTCAATTTAAAAGTTTAAAAATATAAACAACTATGAAAAAATAAAATAAAAATAAAATCTATAAGAATACTTATTCCTTTTTATCAATATAGAGTTACAGAATATCACAAAGAAAATGGAAATTTTTGACCTATGACGTCATTGGTAYTCTTSAAGTGTATATATTGAAAATTATATAAGTTAAWAAAYAATAATWTTATATTTACTATTAAGTTAATACTGTATAAAGTTTGGCGAGTATAAATCTCTATGAGAAATAAAACAATGACATTAAAAAATACAATTATCAATTTTGTACTTATGTGATGGTTCACAACATTATTTATAGGTTTAATAAGGTTACTAACATAAAATTTACTCTTTGTGATTTAACTATATAGTATTTTAGTTGTTTTTATTTCTATCACATAATCATAAATATTTATAATGGATTAAAATATATATTTTCTCTATTATTAAGAATATGATTTAAATTCTGATAATATATTTTTTTTTATTTACATAATATGTATTAGAACATAAGAATTATGATATAAATTGACTTTTACTGATTTTAAGATCCATGTTAAATAATATT